TGGGCCTCGCGTGCCTCCTCTAAAAAACGAGGCCCTTTTTGTCTGTACCGCCGGCGCGCAGTAGTGCCGCAACGCGACCGCCGTCATGGATGGCCACTTGATTAGCCGTGCACCATCCCCTGCTGGCTCCTGCTGCTTGGCCTTTAATTTGCATTTCCGAATGAAGGCCCGGCTAATCCATGTCCCTCCCCGTCCACCTTTCTTTTTTCTTTTTCTTTTTTTTGCGCCTTTTTCGATTCTCGCTGTGCAGCCCTGTGCTCCCGGGGGGCACACACACATGACACATTCCCCTCGCTCGTCTCTCTCTGGTCGTCTTCCTTCCACGCCACGACGACGTTGCTTGCTGCTAAAGAAAGCCCATCCGCCCATGCCCCATGCCATGAGCGAGCGTGATAATTGATGTGCCTCCTCGCCCGGTCGCCCCTCAACTAGTAGTGGCGATTAGGACAGACAGGACATCCGTACGGCCCGCCGTCTCTTCGCCGCTTTTCAACCTCCCAGCTGCATGCTACTACTGGTGCCGTACAGTAGGCAGCAGCAGCCTCCCGGGGGTGTTTAGGTAGGTAAAATTTGCGTAGGCAAACTTTACATAGTAAAGATTCTCTACTGTAGTATTTCGTTTATATTTATGAATTATTATCTAAACATTGACTAATTAGGCTTAAAAGATTCGTCTCGTAAAGTTAAAGTAAATTATGCAATTAGTTTTTGATTTCGTCTATATTTAGTACTTCACGTATGTACCGTAAATTTGATGTGACGAGAAATCTGCGTTTTGCATAGTGCACTTTTCAGAGTCTACGAGGAACTAGACGAGGGCTCACTTGAATCATTGCCGCGCGGTAATCAGCGCCTACGTAAGCTATGCTAGCGTCGATCAGGGGCAGGGCCGGCGGCATTGGCACGCCCGGCGCCCCGGACTGTTGAGGACAAATGAACAGTTGCGTTGGGAGCCACAGCGCAGGGTATGGACGGGCACAATCAGGCGTACTGTAGCACCTCCCATTCCAGGGCTGGTACCTCGCGCTCGCCTCGCCACACGTCCCCCTGTCGGTCGGGCGAGGCGGTTTCAGGTTCACGCACCTACGCCCCGGCGCCCCGCGCGGCCGCGCCCACCGGCCATCGTGACTCTAGCCCGCCAGGTGGGAAGACAGCGAGAGGCAGCTGCCGAGCTGCGGCACGCACGACCAGCAGGCAGCAGCAACACCAGCACCCGTTCGTCAGAGAGAGCGTACCGCACGTACACTACGACGGACATGTGGAGGCAGACAGCCCAACCGCAGGGCAGACGGCAGCCCCACTCCGTTTGGCTGCGTCTCGTCGTAAACGATCGTAAATTTCGAGTTAAAATAGTATTTTTCTCTCACATAAACCAACCAGCATTACTTTTTCATGAACCAGCAACGAAACGAATCAGCCAACTGAACAGGCTGCTTGTTTCTTGTGTCTTTTGGATACGATTATTGCCCTGTTCGTTTGAGTTATAAACCGTACTTTTTTAGCTAATGAATAATATTTTTTTCTCACGACAAATCAGCTATGACTTATCAGCCAAGCGAACAGAGCTATATATATATATATACTGTTCTTCAATCCACTGATGAGGGCCTGTTTAGTTCCTTCCAAAACCCAAAAATTTTTGCGTAGTATCCATCACATCGAATCTTGCGGCACATGCATGAAATACTAAATGTAGACGAAAAAAAAACTAATTGCACAGTTAGATGAGAAATCGCGAGACGAAACCTTTGAACCTAATTAGTCTATAATTAAACACTAATTATCAAATAAGCCTGAATCGATCCACACAGCGCAGAGACCAGAGCGCTCCGTGGCAAACAAAATCTGCGGCTGTACGCGCTGTGCTGCACTGCTGCATACTACTACCTAACTGTAGATTGCGTGTCACGAAATGTGGTTTACGTTTCACAAAATTTTTAATGAATAATATTCATAATTATGTTTTTAAATTAATTTATTATAAAAATATATTTCGTAATTAATCTGATGATATTTATTTGGTATTATAAATATAGATATTTTTTTATCTATAATTGATCAAACTTAAGGTATTAAAACGTGACACCGTGATAGAATTGTAGTATTTTTTTAGGGACGGACGCTGTACATGGATCGGACTCGGGCTTCCAGACCCTGTCTGCCACCCACACCCCACAGGTTCATTGCATCAATCGTACTGTACGTGATGAATGTTTGTGGGTATACATGTACTGCTACTAGTACGTACAAGTACCCCAGTACTCCTAACTGAGTGTTTCTACTAGTAGCACCTCCAAAGTATGACACTCATAAATGAGTTGTTCTCCGCATATTTCTCGTGTCTGAAACCTAACGTACGTCACGTGTTTTAGCGTGTGTTTGGCTGCTAGAACCGCGAGATAGGAGGGGCCGATCATGTTTTACCTAGTGTTTGATTCAGGGGTGGTAAAAGGACGGAGTGGTCGTTAAGGGCCCGTTCGTTTAATATGGAATGGTTGCCCTGGAATTGTTCCAGCCGGATCGATAGGTTTATTTGTATTAGTATAGATTAGCTGGAATAGTTCCCGGCCTCAAAACTAGCCAAACGAACGAGGCCTGAAGAGAAATATTTCGCTTAGATTGTAGCTTGCTCGTTGCCGTCCTTTGAAATTGAGGGCGCGACCTTATTCCCTTTTGACGTCGCACAGACAAAGGGGTAGAAGATGAAGATAAGCTCAAGATCTAGCCGTTGGCTCAAGGCGCACACGGTCGTTAACGGTATAAAAAAATTGTATCATCCTATCCGTCTGAATCCCGCAAATCAAACGGTTTCTTTTTTTCGAAATACCAAACGGTAGTTTAGGATAAACTTACCATCAGCCAAACAAACAAGTAGGATGGCGCCACCCAAAACTCATGGACGGTTCGTCTTATCCTTATCTCCAAATTAAACACACGCTAGTGATCGAAGATAGCGTATGATTTTGTGACGTTTTCTTTGAAATCTTAATTAATGCATGCAAGGAGATAATTAACTGGATGGCAGTTAGTAGTACATCATATTGCTAAGCTATCTGCCTCTTTCTTGTTAAAACAAATTAAAGATGTACTGCTACTGTGCTTGGTATGAATGCTTTTCCTCTTTTGAGCAGTCTGTTTGATCCTCGCACATGCATGAGAGATTCAGAGCAGCTTCTTTCTTTGTTTTTTTTCTTCTCTTTTTTCCTTTTTAATGGGAAAAGGTGGAAGTGTGGAACTAAAGAAGCATCTTTTGCTATCAGCCATTCAACAGTACAACTAGTAACAAACCATTTTCTTAAGAAGGTACTCCGTACTTGCAACACACACATATGTAGAGAGAGTACTGTAGTACTACTTAACCATAGGAGTATTGCTGACCAATTAAGGACTGATTCTACTCCAATCATCACATGGGGCACATGAAGGCAACAGTCCAACACCTGATCCGGTACAGACAAATTACTGATACTCCCTCCTACCAGCAGCACCTGATCGATACCCCGTCAGCTGTGCCCAAATGGACACCAACAGTCCAACACCATCACGTTGCTTTTTCTTTAGATGACCACGTGATACTGCTGTGTTCGTACCCTGTCTGTTTGGGCTTATTTAGCTTATAAGTCGTACTTTTTCAACTAACGAATAATATTTTTTTCTCACACCAAATCAGCCAACAATACTTTCAACCATGGCTTATCAGTCAAACAAGCCCAAGCGAACAGGGCGACACTGTCTGTTTGTATAAACATGGGAATTGCTCGCTTTCGATTCACATTTTGGGCTTTGGCAGGGTTGGCTCCAAGCCTCCAATCAATGTGGATTGGTCGTTTGGTTGCCCCAGAGGCTGCATGCTTAATCTGCGTGAGAGCAAAACATGCCAAAAATGAACGCACAGTTCTGCCGTTGGGAATAGCAGATGCCATCACACACAAAGCCCCTAGGGGGAGTGAGAGCATGAGGCAAGAGGCATGCAGAAGTTGCGCTCACAGAACTGAAGACACTTGCGCTGGAAGACACTTCTGATGACCAAACATCTCGAGTTCACGGCTCGGCCCCAGCAGGTCAGTCCCATGCTCCCATCCCATGAAGGCGTTGGCCGCACTGTGCGGCAGACAGCACTCCGCGTCTCCGCTGCGACAGTGAGCACGTACTGCTGCACGTAACGCGCGCGGAGGAGGTGAACATCCAATGCAGGAGCAGGACTAGTAGGCAGTAGCTGTACCCTCAAGTTTAAGGTTCTCCCTTTTTAGGATTTAGGCTGCCGATCGTATCCACAAACCTTAGCACAATGGACTTGTTCCACGCTAATAATTAGGATTATCATGATGACAGTCGTGTTTACCACGCTGAAATCCACAGATATGAACAGAGTGTGTGCATGGTACCTTAACTTCAACTGCATATCCAGAAGTTCTCACGCTGACATCACTGAAATAGATAGAAGCCGCCATTTGTGCTAGCAACTGCTGCTGTTGCCTTCTCGTTTCGCCTAAGGATTTCCTTGCATCAACCCGCCCGAGCTTCCCTACCCCCTCCGGGGCGAGGGCTCCGTTCCCTCTGCTCTGCTACCCGGAAACTCTCCGGTCAGCAGGCAAACACTGTGTGGGCCAACAGAATCCATACTTTTCGGCAAATTCAGATGCTTATCGGTGACCTTCCCCTAAATGTATGCGCAATCAATGGGGTGGCTAAAGCATGCACGGTAATCACAGCTAACAAGGCCCAGGTGTCTTAGAATTGCTACGAAGAAACTCTGGGATTGTAAACGATGAGACAGCAACACTCAAAACCTGATCACAAGTTGCATCTATAATAATTACCATTCTTACACCAATTTGGTGGGCGGTGGCAAACGAAACATACTACAAACTCAACATCCCTGTCGAGTAAAATACCGAGCGATACATGTAAGTGTGAAACTGCAACACTCAGAAACACTGCGTGAGAAAGCCGGCAGCTAGCAACATGTATGTATTCAGCAAGGTTTGTTCCAGCTGTGCCTAATTCCTGGTGCGACCACCACGCCTGGGAGGCACAACGGTCCACCCATCGGCATCGGGAGTAGGCCTTGGAGGCCTTGGCCTGTCCACCGCCATATCTTCCGGCGCAGCCTCTTGATCATCCATCATTGATGTGTCATCACCATCATCCGAGCTATCACTGTCATCGTCGTCATCGGCCACTATCTGCTCATGAGAAGACCAATTACAGTTTGCCAGGAATCACCAATGGTGAAATATAACAGCGAAATGTCGGGAATGAAAGCAATATTACAGAGAAAATGAAGATTCTAATCTCTCTGCTAGACGAACTATTATTCATATCAAGGTGGATCAATGATGCTACCATAAGGTGAACTGACATGAATGCACAATAAAATATGCGAGGGCTTTGTCAGAAACATGTTCCCATTGATTTACATTCTACAATGGATACAGAAAACTTAATGACAAACTTGAAAAAAAAAATAATGGCAATAGGTATCCAATGTTCCTGTATCCAATTTCTGGTTCTGATTCTCACAGTCACATTATTAACTCCACTTCGATACTCGGTCATAATCCACAAACATTGTTAAAAAATTGTGAAATCAACCTTTTCAATCTTACCAACCTCAGATCTTTAAATAAAGAATGCAACACCAGCTCAAAAAGTAGTAAGGTGTAAATTCACAACTATTTCATTTTTATCCATTCTCAAACACATTCTATTAACAGAAAAACGTAAGAGAGTCACATCAACTGGTAGTCTACTGCAGCTAAACACTTGAATCATGCTGCAGTTTAAAACTAATCAGCTTCATAAGAATGAAAACAACTGTCCTTCAATTATATACAGCTAAATTGCAGCAAAAGTTCGTTGAGAAGTTTGAACACATGCAACACTGAATTATAAAAATCAGGAAAAGGAAGCATGTTGATACTAGAATGCAATAGCAGAACATACATGTCCACTCTGGGAAACATCTGATCCAATAAAATTCAACAATAGTACACACCTGTCTACTTTGAGAAACAGCATTCCCCTGAACATGAGAATTCCTTAACTTCTCTATAGATGAATAGTTGTTTTGCAGGCATTCTTCATGTATGATCAATAACTGTTCAGCAACCTGTTCAAAAAATTATTGATACTAATGAACACTAGTACACCACTGATTGCAAGAAGTTTCTGTTTGTGTTATGATACAGAATTGTCCCGGAAGATAAATTTGATGAGATATTATTACTAGACTAGACCTAGTTCTTAAGAATATTATTAGCTACTGTTGAGTGAGTGATATGTCATAATGTGCACAAGATCTTTACAACCCCAATACTCATTGTGCAAAATTGAAATTGTCCAATCCACATCCAAATATCCATCCATGTACCAACCAAACCATAGTTCTTAGGGAGCCTATCTGGTACATTTCACTTCAAAGGCAAGTATCATGATCTGATAAGGCTATTAATATCAAGTACATGTCTTGAGCATAATTGCCACATACTATTCAGCAAGAGTATTAGATCTGTTCTTCCATGCTGAGAAGTGAGAAACACCTTAATGTCTTACACTGCTGAACAGCAACAATAGCAACTTGTAAAACAAAAAAAAAAGAGTCAGGTAAAAGCAGTAAATGAGGTATCTAGGTATCCAGACTTAATCAAACATATTCCATTAACGCTAAACCGAACCAACCTTTTTATAGTTCAAGAGTGGAAGAACTACACACCACAAGGAGTGTTAGGTTCCTGGGTGAGGGAATAATACATTCCCTGTATACAGAATTTACATGACATACAACAGTAATCATAAGGATCTAGCCTACTGTACATCTATGAACAAAATCAGGAGCACATGATTAAAGATTGGGCAATGATCAAAGTTGCCCTGTATGGCAGATCATAGGATCAGTTATGGTAACAGTAAGAAAGGAATATGCATAAACATCCACACTACAGAGCAGTAATACAATGTACTGATAGAGTTTTACCAGGAGCTAGGTTCAGGGCAACATTCATCAAGTTAAACATTTAAGTTGACGCCGAAAATGAACAGAAGGAGGCGGGACATAATTACCTCCTCAACACTATTATCCTCAAAGTCGGCATTGAAGGATTCAGAAATTTTGTCATACATCATATCCACCAAGTCTTCGAAATAACGTGGACCTGAAATGGAAACATTATTAGTACAAATAGACCCAGAAAAGTGCCCAAGCTGACTAAGTTAAGCCCACAGCCAATTGAATAGATGGGAAAACAACAACATGGCCTTTAAGTCCCAAGCAAGATGGGGAAAAAAGCTTTCCTAAAATAAATAGAAGCTATACAAAATTAGACTGAAATCTATTTTTTCCTGGCTAAAGAATCCTGAGTGAATGTATGCACTTGAGACCTTAAAATTTTAATACAAACCACTAAAGTAAAGAACAGTACTAATATGGCCATGCGGAACTGAGTTGCAATGCTCAACTGAGAAGTATCGCTTTCATGGTTGATCCGTGACTCCCACTATGCTGAACCTAACAAGTGCCTAGTAAATCTCTCCAAGTGACAAGTGTTTCTAAATCTCTCCCAGCTACAAGTGTCTCATAAATCTCTCCAACTGTGACTGATTCATAGGCTCCAACCGCTTAAATGCATCATGACATAATAGAACTTAGGCATTTCCTTGCTTATACAGACGACATCCATCATCTGTTAAGACTTACACATGCCTGAATCTAATAGTTTTTTTTCTTCTAATAATTCTGTCTTTATGTCATAGATTGTAGAAGCTGATGATAAATATAAATGACTAAATCTCTTTTAAAAAATATAAATGACTAAATGAGGCAGTTTTTGCAGTAAAATGGACTGCATAATGCATGGCAGCTGAATGGCTCCCATACTTTAAATTTTAAATGAAATGTACAAACTGTTATAGAACCAAAGTTGTCCAAGATTTCAATTAGACAAAAACCTGTAGTTTATTGAGGATAAATGCAGCTATGGATCAAGATAATTCAAAAGGAAAACCTCCAACAAAGAATTAAATAATCTTAAGTTCCTCCGCATTTCACATTTAATTGACACAACAACCAATTACGATGATCATCAATTCATAAAAATCACATCGTTTTTCCCTGTAACGCATCGAACTTTTGCACACAATCAGAAACCCGAATCCTCGCTGGTTGAGCCACGGCTACATTTAACATAGCAACTACCTACAGTCGATCAAAATTCCAAACCCTCTGATCTCTGAATCAAGATATGAGAATTCAGAGACTATAAACTAAACAATACCAACTGTACTTCCGGATCCCGCCTGACGAGGAGAAAATCATCCGAGGATGTTGGGGGGAGCTGTACGTACCCTTAGTGCGACAGAACCAGAAGAGGATGGACTCGCCGAACTGGTCGGCCTTGGCGCGGGAGTCGCGGCCGCCCCACTGGTTCTCCACCGCCATCTGAAGCGCCGTCCACCGCCCGAACACTAGCCTGATAGCCTCTCCAAACGCCGCCTCCGCCTCGGCTGAGATCGGGCCGGGGATGGGGACGGGGCCGCCGCCGCCGCCGCCGCCGCCGCCGTTAGTTGCGGCCATGGTCTCGCGTGTCTGGGACGGACGAAGGCTGCTATGGTTTTTCCTTTTACGCTGTGACCGGTAACGTCGATAGGTAAATTTTTATAGTGAAAACACATGAATAGCACGGTAGGATAATAATATTATAAAAATAAATATCGATATTAAAGTGACATTTAATTAAAAAAAGTAAAGTTCGTAAAATTAACATAGACATGGAGAGCGCGGCGTCGTAGGCATATAAATTCTTCTGTATAGATCTTTTCATGATGTGACTAAGATAATGTTTTATATCGTCAGAAAGAAATCTCCGATATTCATTTCTTTTGTGCGCTAATAATTCCACGAATAAGTTCCGCCGCATGTCATACCATCATGTACACAGGTTCGAGTATATATGTAAATATTAGTGCCTGTCACATGGATAATATTGCGTGTCTTAAAAATATCTCACAAAATTTTAAAACAAAGTATATTATACTCAACGTATAAATATGTGTGGCTTTAGATCTATTCCACGCAGACATATACTGTAAAATAAAGTATCCATTTGAGTGTGTGGTAAGATTGACCATCAGTAATATATAGAAATAGTTAAATTATAGATATTATTATTGCAAGCAACGGTGACTTTAAGTTAATTACCCATCTATATCATCTGCAGAGTTTTTTTCACGGATAAATTTTTATTTGAAGATATCCTCGTTCCATCCGGGAATATGTGCAAGTTAAATCAAGAGTTTGCTTGGTATACATTAGTGCTGGTGTGTCTTTACACTATTTTTCAACAGGTTTAGAGTCAATCATGATAAATGTATTTTTCTTCTAGTTGAAAATATAAAGCATATATTTTCTAACACGTAGCCATGGCAAAAAAAATTACAAACATGGTAGCGATTAAAATAATATATAGGAAACACGTAATAAAAGCAGGAGCAAGCGACTTACGTATCTGTACTGTACTAAGTTGTATTTTATATTCTCATATACACCAATCGCAGCAGCCATTTCTTTCGTACTGTATTCTTTACGATATTCTAGCATTTTGTTAAAGCACACATTTTCTGGAAGAGAATGATATCGAGAGTCAGGATTAATATAACTTGACTTATTTTATATAATTAGAAGAACAACAAATAAGACAATATAATATAGCACGATAATTAATTATAAAAATGTGCTTACACAGAATCTTAGGTCCATATGATGCTTTGTAATACTATTGTAACCATTAGAAAGTAGTAGAACAGAAGAAATATAGTAACATTCTCACTGGGAAGTAGAGTAACTGAAAGTGCATCTAGCCCTTTAATGGATTTTGGATGATTGAATGACAACGTGATTAAAGGTCTAACCCGTTTGCTAAGTGTGGACAGGTTATAGGTTATCTCATGAGTACTTAATAAAAGCCAAAATGATGTGTTGTTGTATAAACAATCTAGTTCAAGCACAAGACAATAATGCAAATGTTATTCATGCAAAGGCTCATTTATTGTGGGATTTCCATTTGCTATGTGAAAGGAAGCTCGCGAGAATTAATTAATGAGACATGAGAAATTGCATATGGAATGGTCTTATATTTGAAGCTTGCTAAATTAAAATAAAAAAGATAACAATACAAATAAATGGATGATTCAACATAAGAAGTGACTTGATGGCTTGAGATGGTGAAGATAGCAAGGAAAGGCTTCGAGGTACTAAGCAAGGGTGAAGGGCAAGCGACGGCTTGGCGGCCGAAGAACCTAGCTAGGGTGAAGAAGAAAGTACTTACATTTAGTTGAGGTACTAATCAAGCTATGATGGCCATGTTCATGTGGAGGATCAAATCACTATTGGATTGTTTGATGGAAGTGACTTGATACATTTGGGATTATTCAAATATGATGAATGGAATCAAGTCACGTGCTCAAGGTGGCTATGCTCTAGTGAAAAAGATCAATATCAACATGTTGGCGCCCTCACTTGATGAAGATTGGAATACACGGCTTCGGTTCAAAAAGAGCAACTCAAAAGGTTTAAATTCGTTATACTTTTAAATTTGAGTAAATAGGAAGGCCGTACTATTAAGAGGAATGCATCATGTTGATAGATAATGTTTCATAAGTGTTCAAGCCAACCCATGTGATATTTGAGTGTTTGAGAGACAAAAGGCTAACTGACTTGTTGCTGGTCTGGCCTTACCGGACGTGTCCGGTATTTGCCCAGTAACTGTAAAAATGTTGTTCTCGGGTTGGTTCGTCGGAAGTTCCGACGACGATCGAGAGTTCCGGCAAGGGTCGGGAGTTCCGACGTCTCACTTTAACTATCTTGGAGGGTTCACTGTCCTGGTCTATGGACGACCAGAAGCCAACGACTAGTTTCCAAAGCCTTGAGGGTCGGGAGTTCCGACGTGAGTCGGGAGTTTCGACGGTCGGAAGTTCCGGCATGTGTCGGGAGTTCCAACACCTCATATTCTTTAACTCAGTTACATGGTTTTCAAATTTGCTGAGGATCGGGAGTTCCGACGTGAGTCGGGAGTTCCGGCGGTTGGGAGTTCCGGCATTCATCGGGAGTTCCGACGCCTCACAACTTCACTGTAACTTAGTTACCGTTGGGGCAGTGTAAGTCTGTCCGGTATGCATACCAGACGTGTCTGGTATTGCAACGACTATAAAACGGTTAGTTTTTCAAGGGGGCTATAAATACCCCAAGCCTCCGCCTTTGGAGGCTGCTAATTCTGCTGAGATAGACACACGTCTTTGAGCCTTGCCAACTCTCCCAACCCTCTCTTAGTGAGTGTGTGATCCAGATTGCAAAATCAATTTGTGGGTTAAGAGAGAATTCGAAAAAGAGAGCAAGCCACCACTTGAGCACTTGTGCATATTGTCAATCTCGTGATTCGCATTTGTTACTCTTGAACTCTTCGGTCCTAGACGGCTAGGCGTCGCCGGAGAGCAACCGAGAGATTGTGGTTGCTTCGGAAAGTTTGTAACGGTCGATTCCGCCGCCTCGGAATCATTTAGTGGAAGGAGGAAAAGGAGTTGGAAAAGACTTCGGCTAGAGTGACCTTCGTGGTACCCTCTAGGGCTTACCTTCGCTGGGTCGCCCGCAGCCCCCTCAACGGAGAGTAGGACTCGAATGAGTCCGAACTTCGGTAAAACAAATATCGTGTCTCAATTCGCATTTCATTTGATATTTGTGTTGCTCTAGCTATTCTGCAGGTTCTCTGTGTATATTACTATCTCTAATAGTTTCCTGCAGTTTGGATTGAAGATAGAAATCAAAAGGAGCAAGTTCGGGGCTGTTCCACTGAAGTCGTGAATACCGGACACGTCCGGTATTAGCCCCTGCACCAAACTGAATTGTATTGTGTTCTAACTCTTTGTTGCAGGCGTTTGGCTCCTAGATTCATTTAGTATCTTTTATATACTCTGTGGCTAACTTGTGAGGGGTGATACTACTCTTTATTTGGAGTTTCCATTTTAGAAACTCTCTTTACTAATCGTTTCCGCATTTAAAGGTGTTAATTTTCAGAAACGCCTATTCACCCCTCCTCTAGGCGATATCCTAGGTCCTTTCAATTGGTATCAGAGCAAGGTTCTCACCTAAAGCTTCACCGCCGTGAGAAAAGGATGTCGACGCCTATCGAGTTGGAGCCGGTGCTTCTCCAAAATAATGGTTCAAACTTTCTACCTTGGTCAATCCATGTACTCAATGCTTTTAGAGACATTAGTCCTCTTGTTGAGCATATTGTGGATGCAAGCATACCTCTTTCTATAGTTGATTGGAGCAACTACAAAAATTTGTCAAAAGAGGAAGAGATATGCGTGCAACTCAATGCTCAAGCTATTAATATCATTTTGAGTACATTGAGTGCAGAGGTTCAAGATGAGGCAATATTCAATAGACAACCACCTCCGGAGAGTGCTCATCTCATTTGGACCAAACTCGTTGAGTTATATGGAGAATCCAAATGCGATGATGCACTTGAGGTCGAGTCAATGGAAAGTATGTCTATCGTGTCTTCATGCAGTGAAGAAGTCTCACAAGACCTCAAGAGTGCCGAGCCGGAGCAAGAAGTCCAAGCAACATATGATATGTTGTCTGCCTGCACATACCGGACATGTCCGATATGGATGTGGCAGCAGGACAGCAAGCTGTCTGTGATGATGAGGCTCAAGCCCGGTGGTGACCAAGTGATGAGTCAACCTCAGTATCTCATCATACTCATCACTTGTGTCTTATGGCCAAGAAAAGCAAGAAGAAGGCTAGCAAGAGAGATCAAGCCAAGGAGATAGCACGAGTAGATGATCAAGTGGAGAGTGATGTTGAAGTTGAAGACAACTACAACCTTGATCATCTCAACCACAAAGACAAGTTCATCATCATGAAGATAGTCGAAAAGAATGATGAGCTTGAAGAAGAGATTGAGAAGCAAGAGCAATCGCTTCAAAATCAAGAAAAGTTTCTCATCTCCAAATTGCAAGAGCTAAAGGCAATAAATGAGAGGTATGAAAAATTGTCAGTTGAGCATGCTTTAGTTACTAACTCATCTTCTAGTGTTTCACAACTAGAGAAGGAAAACTTTGAGCTCAAGGCAAGGCTAGATGAACTATCAAGCAAGTACAATATGCTACAAGCTAATTATGTTCATCTAAAGTGCTCTCATGAAGAATTAGTAGAATCAAGCATTATGCTTGAGGTAGCACATGAGGTTGTGATCACATCGGTAAAATCCTCTCAACCTTTCACACATTCATTCACTAGTACACCATCTCAATTAAATGTTTCTTGTACTAATGAGTGTGCTCCTCAAGCAAGCCAATCTTCGATTGAGCTAAATCTCATAGAAAACATAGAGCTCAAAGAAGAGGTGAAAAGATTAAAGAAAGATGTGATTCGGTTGAAGGGTGAGGAAAAAGCACAACCTTCTCAAGATAACCGTGATTACATGGTGAAGAAGCTTGAGAAGGGTTCAAACCTTGCTTCCTCCAAAACTCAACAAAGGAATCACATCTCAAGCAAGGCCAACACAACCAAGA